TTACTTACAGAGATGATTGAGGGGTTGCTGAGGTGTATGAATGACCTGGGGGCATGCACACGGGAAAGCCTTTACCCAGCATGGATCAAGCCTTCTCTTCCTAGCCTTCCCAGAGTTTATACTTTTGCCTGCCCCAAATCCAGGATTAGGACCAAATTGCATACAGTTGTCTGGGAAGAGTGGCTGGATACTGGGGTGAGGGTCCAATGATCCTGTTTGCCCCTCCTTTAATGAAGGAGCATAACTATCAACAAGCCCAACTGTAATGATGTTCAGCCAGGTAAAGCCAGCCACAGTTAAGTAGGACCTTTGACTTATCTTCACATAGATGGAAATGGTGAAAGAAAGGAGCCAGGGGCTCCTCCCAAGCCCATGTGACCCCTGAAGAACAGATCCTCAAACAGCCTTAAGAGTAAATATAAATTGGTTTATTTGGGCCAAGCATATGGTCTTAAACACCCAAAAGGAAAGTATAACAAAAGATTAAGGTGATCAGTATATTTCTTTAAGAATTCAAGGGATTATACTTCCCAGATATTAGGCTTAAGTCCATATAAAATGTTATTTAGACAATTGTTGCTCATTGATTATTTTTTTTCTAAGCAGAAATTGCTGCTCAGATGTAAGACTTCAAATCTTGGTCTGTAATACTGTAGTGCCCACCTGTAGCTAAGGGAGACAACCCACTATTGTTCTAAAATGATGGATATATTTGTTTTTCCCCATATCTAGCAGCCTTTGAGAGAGTACTGACACTGATTCTAGCCACTCCAACAGCTATAAAAGTACCTGAAAACGAGTCCTGAGTCCATCACTCTCAAGTCCAGCCTTGACAGACGAAAAAAGAATAAGGAGAAACCCAATCGAGGGATGCTTTTGGAAGGAAGCTCTCGTCAAGAAATTCCAATGGACACTGATATGAACATTTGAAATTTGCCCTGTTCTGACTTTTTTCTTGTTTCTGGCCTATGATTCCTGAGCTGTCTGTAACACATAGTGCTAATTACTTTTACCTTTCTTTCTCCTTCACCTCTCCTATTCACAAGTCAAGGATTTTCTTTTCTTCCTACAGATAAGAGTTATGTAATTTGGAAGTCTTTTACATAGACCCACTGAAGGGTACCCCAATTGCCTCACCCTGCATTAATGTTCAGCATGGAAGAAACCAGAGTTGTCTGAGTCCTGATTACCTATCAGCAATTTGGGTAACTTCAGAGGATGGTGTGGTAAGAATAGGTGGTAGGTATTGGACAGACAGTTAGGGTAAAAAGATCTCAAAGAAAAGTAGTCAGTTTCTTGGCTAAAATGTCCTCCAGCCTCTTAGCAACCTATGCTGTTCCAAAGGCCAAAAATGTCAAAAGTATTTGGGAACTCTTATCTAATCCCTAGAAGATTTTAGGGTTACCTCTTCAGAGGGAGGAGTGTTAGAGTAGCAAAAATCCCCATTAAAAAAAGAAAGAGTACATGAAGTTGTCAGAAAAAAAAAGTGATCAGGAGATATGGGAGGATTTGGAGTGGGCATGGATTTGATCAAAACACCTTATATGCATATATGAAATTCTCAATAAATTTTTTTCAAAGTTAAATAATGCCCAGAATTTTAGATCTGTTAAGGTGTCAAATCCTGTTTCTCTTCATTAAAAATGGCCTTTACACACACACACATAAATAAACACACCAAAATTTAATAAAAACAAATTAAAATAGAAAAATATACCATTAAATAAGAATGGAGTGCATCGTTTTAATCTTTGGGAAGATTAATTAGAAAATAAAATATATTAATATGTACCACTCTTGTCCTTTAAGTTATTGCTTTAAAATGCCCAGTATTTTACTTTATATTTTTATTTTGTATAAAATTCAACCACACACTCTGATTTTGTTCCTGTTTCTACTTAGGATGGCGAAACAAGGACCACAATAAGTCTCAGGCAAATTTCAATGGAAAAGGCAAGGAAGGGAGTATTGAGAAGCTAATATTTCCACTATTTTGTCCCAAAAGTTTTAAAAATAAGTTAAAATGAAATGTATGCTAGATATTATAAACATTGTTACTAAGTATGATTATTCAACAAATATTCAGCATTATGTTAATATATACTAGGAAATACAGACTTGAGAAAGAGATAGTAGAAATAAGTAATGATTTTGTTCTATGGATGTATCTAGTGTAAAAATTATTTTCTCTCATATTCTAGCTCTTTAAAATGATTTTATATGGGCTGGGGAGATGGTCCAGTGGATCAGAGTGCTTACTATGTGAGCATGAAGACCAGAGCTAGGATTCTAAGCACACACCTAACTAAAGCCATAGCTTTATGTGCCTATGATTCCTGAGCTGGTTGGGGGAAGGGAGGTAGGCAGAGACAAGAAGATTGCCAAAGCTTGCTGGCCAGTCAGTCAGGATGAAAAGTTGCAGTTGTCAGTTTCATTAAAATAATAGCTTTTATCAAGAGAATGATTCTGAAGAGCAGTAGAAGAGGACCTCGTGTCATCCTGTGGTTTACAGAGCAGTGTGCACACCCACACATGTATGTTCATACCATATACACACATATGTACACACATGTACACCAGGTTACTAAAGAAACGAAAGATTTTAACTTTTTAAAATGCCGTATTTCATTATTTTAGTGTTATCACCACTACATATGAAATTAGAATTGCCCTAATCTTTAAGCTAGGATAAATTATAGAGCTCAATAACAGCATATTTCTTCCAAGAACTCCTAAATATAGCTCTTAGAAGGGTGAGATTGTGTGAAACATGTCATAGTAAATATAATTTAAATGGTATTTATTATTTTATTTTTGGTTTATGTGCATGACTGTATTGCCTGCATGTATGTAAGTACAACTGTGTCATGAAATACCTATGGAGGTCAGAAAAGGGTGTCGGATTCCCATGGAACAGGAGTAATGGATGGTTGTTAGTTGCTATGTGGCTGCTGGGAATCGAACCTCGGTCCTCCACAAGAGCAGCCAGTGCCCTTAACCACTGAGCCATCTCTCCTGCCCAAAAGAGTAGCCTGTGCTCTTAACTTCCGAGCCATCTTTCCAACCCAATAAATGTAATTTAAAATAATGTCGTTTAGCTACCAGGTAACTAATTATCATGAATATTTTAATAAAATTTAATGACATACCTGAGAAAAATTTAATTCTATAAGCAAACAATACTTTTAAGTATCACTGAATTAATTATAATTCACAGTACGCCAGGTTTTTTAAATGTTGCTGGGCATAAAAGCAATTTTCAAACAAAATGATGAATGATGAATTAATATTTAGGAACAGGATGTTAATTTTTTAATTATCCAACATATTTGTCTATAATTTAGAGTTAACTTTTTCAAAGTGTTGACAAAAACATTAAATAATATTAAGTTATTATCAATTTGATATTGGTAGGCATAAAATAATGGTGCTAAAATTTAATGCTATTTCAACATTCATGGTAGGAGTGTACATGCCTATAATTTTCTATAGAAATAAAGACTTTTCTGAATGTATGACTCAAATTATGTACGGTATTGTAAGTCAAATGATTGTAACAGTTTCATTTATATGGAACATTGTCAATCTCCCTAAAATATCTGAGACTTAATAAACACCTTAAAAGAGAATTATCTTTGACATGAACTAAATAAACAAAGCATCTTTAAGTAGTAATGCATGCAAATTTTGCAGACATGTTCATGCTAATGTAATAAAAATTTAAGAAAAATACATTTAAAGATAAAGACATGTATTCATTTACTGGTGACCAAACATTTTAGAGCATAATTTTATTTAATGATTCTTTTTATCAATTAGCCAATAGTAATGAGACTCTTAATAAATATAGTTTGTAGGTAAGGTGCATTAAATGCAATGTTGGATAGCACAAACTGATTGCTGGTGCTGGCTTTCTCCTTTAAAATTGTTTATTAAAAGTCACTGATATATTCAGTTCTCTAACAATTATCATAACTGACAGAATTTCAGTTACTATGATTGGATCTCATATTGAACAAACATAGTCAATTTTGTACACATTTTGGTACTGTAATGAGAGTCATTATTTTCATATGTAATCATGGTGCTACATTGAAACAGTGACAAAAATTTGCAAAGAAATTTCCATAATATAGTTATATTCTTAATGATGAACGCTTTGGCAACTATGGAAGTTATATAGTAAATACATAACATTGAAATACTTCACAGATTAAAAGATAATTTTGAAATGTGACTAGTGGCACTACATAATTTTAAAAAGGAAAGTTTCTGAAAAGATTTTGGAAAGGATTGAATTTGGAATATCATCTTCTTCATAGTCTTAAAAGCATAATATATATTTATAGTCTTGGAAAAGTAATGACAGAAGAGTTCCAAACACAATGTGTGCTATCAGCTCTTTTAAAAGTCCTACTATAACTAAAATAATGATTTAATCTAAATATAGCAACAAAATAACTATTTATTTTTCTTGAATAAAAATTCTATTCATTACTATCAAAGGTATATGGAATTTAAAAAAATTTTTAACTTATTTTTGTGTATATCAATGGTTTGCCTCCATATATCTAAGAATACCTATATGTTCAATGCTCACGTACACCAGAAGAGGATTCCAGATCCCCTTGAACTGAAGTTGCAGACAGTTATCAGTTGCCATGTGGCTGTTGGAAATCAAGCCTGGTCACCTACAAGAGCAACAAGTGCTCTTAACCACTGAGCCATATGTCCAGCACTGGATTTATTTTATTCAGTTATTATCTGTAGTGCCTTTAATTATAGTGCTAATCACTAAAATGGACACAATTAAATATTTAAGAACATCACAATGAAAATATAATTTAAATATAACCTGGGAATAACACATTTTAGAGTATTACAGAAGAGTACATTAAACAACCATTTGAGTTAGAATCTCCAGCATACAACACAATCAGATCTGTCATTCATTCATGAAAACAAAGATTACTACCGAAATGCTTAAATTTTGCACTTACCAACCTCCACAACACTAGAGCAGTTGGGATCTGTGAAGCCACTTGGACACTCACAGGAAAAGGAATCATCAGCCAATCCCGAAAGACAGATGCCACCATTTTCACATGGATTGGGATCACAAATATCACCTGAGAATAGAGAGCCAGAGAGTGACTGTTATTTATTTCTAGGCATTGAAACCTAGCTCATCTGCTCCACATACACACTCCAAAGTTCCTGTGATAAATTGTTTTCACTAGTTAGTTCAATCAATCTTCTCCTTATAATAAGCTTCTTGTTTTGTTTTGTAATGCTGTGGTACCCTTCCCTGACATGGTGGGCTTTATTTCCGGATACTTAGTATTTGGAATTTAT